GGTTCGGGCGGCGGCCGAGCTCGGAGACATGTCGGATCTGGGGGACTGGTTCCGGAGCATCCCTTTAATTACCCGCTACTGGTTCGCCAGCTCCATCGCGGTGCCGCTGATCGGCAAGCTGGGCCTCATCAGCCCCGTCTACCTTGTCCTATGGCCCGACGCCTTCCTCAGCCGCTTCCAGGTAGGCCGTGGACTCCAAGTCCCAGCATGCATAGCGGCCGCCAAAGACAGCGCCTTTGCATTCTGGGAGCTGCACCAGGTGGCTGCTGTGCCTGCTGGGACCTGGTCCTTCCACTCTTGAAGGGTCTCAGAGTGGGATAAGAGAGGTGCAGACGGGGTTGAATCCCTGCTCACTACGCCTCCTTCTTTTGATAATAGTGGGCATCAGATACCCTGCCCTGTTACCCAGGTCAACTGCTCAGGGGAACTCCCCTTCATAGTTAAGGTGTGGTCCCTCCACGCAGTGGCAGCTGGCACTTGGATTGGTCCAAAATGATGGGCTGCACTTCCACTTATAAATGAGGGGGCCCGTGCCAAGAAGGCACTTCCTGGGATCGGGTTTATGCCTGCTGAGGTGCCACACTAAGTTATCTCACTTTTGTATTAGAAAAAAATGCTTCTTGCTCATTCTGTGTGTATGTGATGGTTAATGTCCTCTCCCTTTCCCCTCAAAACTAATGGAGAAAGGAGCCTTAAAAGAATGGGGATCATATATCATGCTTAACAGCGAAGACCTGAACACAATTCCCTCTGTAATTTGTTCCAAGTATCAGCCCCAAAGTGTGTGGAGTAGGAGTCCCGTATCTCTAATGCTAATGATCCCTGCTGATTTATGGAACTTGGGACCAAACACATCATTCTGAAATGTTGCATATTGGAGTGTCTCATATCAACTCAGAAGTGGCAAGATTATTTCTGTGCTGACTACTATGTGCAACATGTTTAAAGACTACTTATGATGTTGATAGGCAGGGACTTTAATAAAGCGGGTGCATAAACACTAAAAATAGTGTGTGATATTATCTGAATGAAATTACACTAAAAAGATTGTGTGAGTTTCTTACTTAAGGTAAATAGAAAGGATCCTGGTTGGATGTCTTTAAATTGTGTAGAATAGTTGTGAGGACTTCTCTTGTTCTCTAGAGCCCTTTTGGAAGTTAACCTATGCTGTAGCTAAAAACAACTCATAAAACTCTTTTGTCTTACCTGTTATGGCTGTAAGTTACAAGGGCCTTTGAAGTCATATCACAGAATAACAAAATTTGATACACGGGAATTTGCTCCTTAATCTAATAATGGAACATTGTTGTTATTCATTTATCTTTAATATATGTAACTACACTCACTTTTTTGGTCTGGACAGATCTGGAGGCCAATAACTGCAACATTCTACTTCCCAGTGGGTCCAGGGACTGGATTTCTGTATTTGGTGAACTTATATTTTTTGTATCAGTATTCATCCCGACTAGAAACAGGTATGTTATTAATTGAAGCATATGCATGCTGTAGGACAATGGTTCCCAACCTTTTTTACACTGTGGACGAGCAAAACCACTCTCAGACTTTTGGAAGACTGGTGACGTTTTATTGGCATATAATGAATATGTCAATAAAATGTTACTGGTCTGCCAAAAGCCCCAGTCTCCGGAGCTCCACTGCACCCAACTCCCCTCCCCCCACGCACCCACTGTGCCAGCCCCCAGATCTCCCCAGCCCCCCCCAGTGCTGGCTCTGCTC